ACCTCGACAACATTCACGAAGGAGAGTCCATGACAAAAAGACTCAGACATCCTCCTGGAGTCTGAAACAAACATGAGACGTAGTTTTGTTTGGAAGAAAGAGAAAAATCAAGATTCATGATGCTCACGAGGACAAAGAGATCTTGATTTGCATGTTACAGAGGTCTGCGTCATCGTCCCTCGTGTTTGAAGCTCTAGCAGCAGACAGTTTTAAGAGATCTGACTCAGACCTCCTGCATCCACACACCTCAGCTTTTAAATATTATTAAAGTTGAACATTTTCCTGTACAATACTGTAAAATCCAGAGAGTATGAGACCCAGCTCCTGTTTGAGAAGATTCCTGAGGGTAAACGGTTTAAAGCGTGTCCCTGAGAAGAGAAGACTTTCATGCTTTCAACAAACAGAGAAGTTTCTCTGCAGCTTTGAAGCTCTTTCTTTGAACCGAACTGGGAACAGAAACAATTCACTGCAAACTCTGACTCTGCAAACTCTCTTCCTCTCAGTGTCCTGACTTCATATTCTGACTGTTTTCATGTCGTTTTAAAACAATAATTCATTTTTTATAGAATTATCCTTGTCTTAAAGGCTCAGCCCAACCCAAAGTGCAAAACTAGAAATATCTGACACAAGAGGAAGGAAATAAAAGAGATGGATAAATCTAAAACTGATCTAGTTTGCCTCCATCATGGAGATCTGATCTACTATAGGACATCCAGACTCAGGACGTCCACCTGAAAACATCTCTGTCTCTGTCAGAGTCTAACTGACAACAGAAATAATCCAGATCTGCAGACCTGCTTCACGGGGAGCTGCTGACATTGCCGGAGGAGGGGGTAACCTCGCGGCGAGGAAGAGCAGCCCCCCGCCTGCTTTAGGAGAGGAGATGAAACCTCCCACCTGATGACAGATGCTGCGCCGTCGTGTCAGAGAGTGAGAGAGCGTGAAAGGCAGCGCCAAGGTGGTTAGTTTTTGTTTTACTTCCAGTTTTAGTTTTGGTTTGTGTTTCTGTGATACGGTTGCCGAGAACCGCCACTGCAGCAAATAAAAAAAGATAAGATTAAAAGAAGCCACAAGTTACGACGCAAAAAAAGTGGTGATGGAAAAATAAAAAGTTACTTAATGTGAAAATAAAAGGATGCAAATACAAAAAGTCACAACAGAAATGAGCTGCATCGGTGTTTTACGATCTCGGCACAGACAACGACGGTGAGAAGACGAGCAAAGAAGTAAGTGGGAGGGTAATTGTGTAATTTCGCTTTTCAATGTGTCATTTGGTTAGACCATGTAGCGCCTGAGTGGCTGTTCTCGGCCCCCGTACCATGAGAATGATTAGTTTTAGTTCCATTTGTGGCCCTGCAAACAGGATCAGGACTCTTCCCTCTGTCTCTGGTTCTCTCCTGCTGACTCTAGTTTGACATTCAGCGAGTGTACGAGCAGAGAGACGCCCCCTCTGCATGACTAATGGACTCCATCAGCTCCCCCCCTGCAGGACGGGAAACCCCCCGTAGCCTCCCCCGATTGCCCAGTCAGCACTCCTCTCTATGATGAATCTTTCTTCCTGAATAGAGAGCTTGAATCCAGCGACACACACACACACACACACACACACACACACACACAGATCTGGAGGAACTGATCAATTAGCAGGACTGGGATAAAAAGGATCTCTCTGTAAGACGAGGATCTTTAATTGGTTCAGAAAAGAGGAAATCTGTCCGTCAGCTGGAGGTTTGAATTAATTTGAGTTCAGAAACTCGTTTTGAAATCGTAATTATGAAACATGTTAATCAAACGTTTAACCCTTTAATGCCCGCAGAAGAACTGTGAGAATGAGCTGAGATGAAGAATTTCTGTCTTTGGCTCCAAATGTTTTCAACGGGTGGGAAAGTCAGGACCGCATCAGTCCAGGACTCTTCTCCTACAGAGCCATGCTGTTGTCAGAATGTGGTTTGGGATCATCTGAAGGTCTTCCCTGGAAAAGTCTTTGTCTGGATGGACGCAGATGTTGCTAAAACCTGCAGATGAGCCATACCGGATGCGGTGAAAATCAGCTCCAGGCAGCCGGAACAGATATGCAAGGCTTCTATTTTTGACGCCATAGCACGGAGCATCAATTCAGTGCAGCGCAGCACAAGCAGCAGCGGAAGTTGTAAATGCGGCTACAGAGTAAAACATCCGGTTAATTTTCAAAATAAAATAAAGTCAGTAAGTTAAACTGTTTTTGACTTGATAATAGGAGCAGCCAGGGTTGAGGGATGTGGGTGTTCATATACACAGATCGGCGGATCTCATTCAGTGTCTTACAAGGAAACACGCAAGATCTTGTGAGATCTTGTCCAGTCTCACGAGAACGATCACTATTATCACAAGAGCTTCTCCTCCGATGGCGGCGGTTCCGGTGGGCGCTGTATGCTTGTGTATTTGATCCCATGCGGTGACTTCAACTACAGAGTCTTTAACCCTTTAGTTCATTTCTCTGCAGGAATGTTATCGGCTGTCAGATGAGTATCATACTTTTCAAGATGTTTTATATCACTCCTGTTGAAATATTCAGTCTGAAAGTGAACACACATCTCTTCATTCATGCATTCTTTATTAATTTAACATCTCCCCTCCGGACTGCTGTGAGCTTGTGTGCGGGTTTGTGTGTGTGTGTGTGGTGTGTAGTCAGAGCAGTGCAGCATCTCAGGCCTCGGGCATGTTGAGGAATGATCAATGATTCACCACCTGCAATTAGTTTGGAAGGTGTCGAGGCTTCAGAGGCAGCCTGAGTGTTGACTGATGATCCACACAGCGTCTTATCAATAATACTTATTACGTACCCCAGAGTGTGTTCATTTATTTCTACAAGGAATAAAGGAGCAGAGGGACGTGCACGCTCAGAGTGGCATTGCTCTGTTTGCAGCTTTAAAGGTGGTGTAGTCAGGATCTGAGGAAGCTCCAGTTTTTAGGAGAAATCTCGAATGTAAACTCCCCCGCCCACAAACAGACGCTCCTGCTCGCTCGTATCATTCCAATTAAATTCAGATATAATGCAGATAAATACTTCAGATCATTACAAATGGGGCCCAGTCAAGGTGAAAGTCAAAAGCATTGGTGCTACTGTAGATGCCAACAGACCACCAGCAAACACAATGTTTGCAGGACTTCTACAACGAGGATAAAGTGACATAGTCCAGGACCCGAGGGAGGACAGTTTAGCGATGGCGCTACAACACGCTACAGCAGGTCCGTTTGACAAGAAACACTTCTGTTACAGACACTTGTCTTACTTTGTTAAAGCGGTTTACCTGTCCAGCAGAAAGGTTACAGGGTCACCAAGATCCCCAAGCGTCCCCCATCGTTTATGTTGACCCGGCTTTTTAGCTCTTGTCCGGTCTACCTCCGTTTTAAGCGCCCGTTAGTCCTCCAGAGTCTCCGGTATTTACTTTGTTTTCTCGCTTGTGTCGGCAGTCGTGGCCAAAGGAGGATTCAGACAATTTTCCGAACTTTCTGGTTGGTTTCTACTGTCCGATATTGTAGCACGCTAACTTTGTTTGGGCTCCTGAACGACACGGGGGAGCAGCGTCTGCCTCACAACCAATCAGGTCGGGGAAGTGGAGAACGGCAAAACACAGCGATATTGTTATATTACCAAATGTCATCAATAACTAATAACTATTGACGGGATTCTGTGCAATATCATTGCAGGTATTTGCTCAGGGTATTTTTTTAAACTAAAATCACAGTAAAAAATAGACTAACCAGAACCTGGTCTCTTGGATCCACTAAGGTCAACAGAGGTTTGGTGAAAGAAGAGCTGAGGAAACATGAACATCATTCATTCATTATTCAGATTTATGATGAAGCATTTTTCAGTTTTTGACACGATAAATCGGGTTTGTGCTTCACTTTCATTCGCTGCTTATTCACTGCGTTTGTCGAAGTTGGCGTCACGTTTTCAGCTGAAAATCTGTAGAGCTACAAATGCAACAAAAACCACAGCTGATGTTCATTCTCCTTCCCAGAATGCCTTGCTGCTGTTAATCCGTCCCAGGTATTAATCATCCTCTGATTAGACCACTGCACTGGAAACCAGAGGGGTCAGAGGTCACTGTTCCTGGTGATGGGAAACACTAACTTTGCTAATATTTAATCACCAGCAGCTCTCACTGACACCGATGTGTTCGGGGTCCTTAATGTCGTGGGAAATCAGAGGATTGAAATTCAGCTCGGCTGCCTGACGCTTGCAGCTCATTTGCTGCAGAGCTGGATGGCTGCTTGTCTCATGTCCGGGGATGTGGAGTAATTATTACACGGCCGCTCCCGTTTATTCAGTGTAATTGCTTCCAGTGTTTCCGGCACACAGAGAGGCTGCTGGAGCACGGCAGCACTAATGCACAGCTCTCATTTACACCTATAGAGAGAGAGAGAGAGAGTCTTGGAAACATGGGGAGAGGTCACTCACACCATGTCAGACAAATACCCACACACTGCTGTTGTTTGTGGACAGCATTCATTCGCTAAGACGAGGTCATCTGAAAATAAAGTGTTTGAAATTATTTCAGCCTCAAATCTTAGTCCAAAAAATGGCCGAGTCGGTGTAACCCTGAGCGGCTGTTGGAGGTATTTCTCATTAAGAGTTGGACTTCTTCCCACAGAAGGTCACAGGATTGAAAGTGCTGCAGAGAAGGCTAAGAAAAGACCTTGGGTTTGAAAACTGAGTTTTTTTTGTCTGATACTCATAATGACGGTTCTCAGGTCTAAACTACCACCTCTGACTTTCTGTCAGACTCAAAGGTTCTGAGAATAATTTCATCACACTTAGATCAAGTTAAATCCAACTCTGTTCCTGCTAAAGTGAGCTGCAGTTATACCTTTAATATTATCAACCTATAACTGAAGCCAGATCACGGGCCGAGCGGTTCCTCTCAAGGACCTGACGTCCATGGTTTCCAAAAAGAAAGTCTCGTTTTTAGTCCACCTTACCCCTAATTTCCACCCCATCTGGAACAGCTACGAAAAGGTCGTATCCTCCGATCGTAGCTGATCGTAACCATTCAAGTTAACGTGTCAATTTACACCGACGTCTTTCCGTTCCTCTGCGGATCGCCGGACTCCTCAGCTGATCACAAGATTTCTATTCCGTGCTGGAAAGGAAGTCGGGCACAGACACAAAATAAAACATCCGGCTTCTTTTCAAAATAAAACACTCTATGTTTCAGGAAGATCGAGCGGAGACGAACAAGTGAAAGGTTTTTAGACGTCATTTCACCCCGATGACACCATGGATGAGGAGATGATGATTCTAGAAGTCTAGAAGTAGATTTCCTCCTCTGGAAGGACACAATCTACTGCTTATATGTCTATGTGTCTGTCTTTATAGAGACAACTCGTTATCGTGAGATTGCACGTGAATCTGCGAGTTCTTGTGAGTTCTCGTGATTCCCACTGTCCGTAATCCGCCATGAAATTCGCCTCACAAATGGATCCTGGTAAGAATTGGTGGACGGCAAAAATCGCCGCTGTTCCGGATCTGAGCTGTTCCAGATGCGGTGAAAATCTTGGGTCAAACGGGCTCAGGTCCAGAGAAGTCCCTGGTGTTTCTGGATGGTGTTTCATGTAAACCAGGACTGGTTTACATGTTTAAATTGTTGATCTGTTTGCTTGAACCTTTAATATGCCATCTTTGCTCTGTTTATGATTTAATAAGGAGTTTTTAAAATTGTTATTGTTCAACACTTTAAACACTAACCTAAGCACTCCTCAGGTCTCATAGTCTTTGTGTTTTACATCTGTGGTTAGAAATGTCTCCTATCAGGACATCAGCTGCCATTAAATTAAAATACTGCTGTAGTTACAGACACTAATGCCGTCACAAACACCGCCTCCCTTCAGCTTCTGCTCATCCTGAACACCTCTAACAGACATACAAACACTATAAAGGTTTATGGGCTGGAACAAGGTGAACACTACTCTGAGAAACCTGCCCTTAAAACAATCTCAACCCCACCACCCCTGAAGGAGCACAGTGGGTGTGATGTCTGCTCTTTAACACTGTGTGTCAGTCTGAACTCATCATCGCCCTCAAACTGAACTCCTCAAATCTGCGGACCGTCTCATATTTGCTCTCAGGGTGAGTTAACTGTCAGCTGCTGAGAAATGAGATATCAATCCAAACAAGAGGAGAATCACTGTTAATTATAAATATTATTTCCTTGTGGAGGAGAAACTGTGGATCTGTCAAGGCCTCATTTATACTTGAGTGAGAGTGTGGATGTGGAGGTGAGGAACTCCAGGGGAACCTGGATCAGGCCGGGCCGGGCTGCCTGTAAACTTTTGATCATCCAGAACTCCTTCAGTCAACTTCTCTTTCCTCCCCTCTCAGATATCAGATCTTCTCAGCCGGGACGCTCTCTAATCAGAGACAGACCTCCAGACCTTAGACAGAGATCCTCCTGAGACCGAGTGATCAGATGGAAACAGATGAAAGTCTCAGATCATCTTCAGCAGCTGCTGTCAGGAGGTTAGAGGGCCGGAGGACGTCGCGAATATTAAACATCCTCTTTAATGACCCTCATTCTCCAGGAGTGTTTTACCTCCACTGTAACTTCAGCTTTCTATAATAACTATAATAACTTCATTTTTTCACAAACTAAAGGCACTTACAGAAAGAAAACACCGACATGGATGAAGGTGCGAGGGCCCGCCCATCCTGCTTTAATAAGCTGTTCATGAAAACAGTTTATTCCTTAAAATCAGAGTTTTTAAGGTCGGCTGAACTGCTGTGAGGTACAAGTGGTCCTCACAGATATAGTGATTCTGATACAGTGGTGTGTGTGTGTGTGTGTGTGTGTGTGTGTGTGTGTGTGTGTGTGTGTGTGTGTGTGTGTGTGTGTGTGTGTGTGTGTGTGTGTGTGTGTGTGTGTGTGTGTAGAAAAGTGTGTGAAGCTGGTTCACAGTCACCCATCTTTATTTGAGGGTGTACCTTCATTACTCCGTCTCATCAGGCAGGAAAAGAACCAGAGCCGGTGTGTGTGTGTGTGTGTGTGTGTGTGTGTGTGTGTGTGTGTGTGTGTGTGTGTGTGTGTGTGTGTGTGTGTGTGTGTGTGTGTCTGTGGTGATTGATGAGCGCTCATCAGACTCTTGCAATCACTAAACTTTCTTTTTCATTTCTGCTCGTCTTTGCTTCCCTCCATCTATCATCATGTCATCCTTTCATTCTGTGTCTGTTCCTTTTCTAACGTGCACACTTCAAACTCACACACACACACCTCTGAAAGAGTGATACATGTGCTGGTGTTGTGGTCACATGTCAGTTTGTTTAAATCAGGGTAGTAGAGCCCTATAGTATCATAACACAGGCATTAACATTATTAAGCTGACATGTAATTCTGGAGCCGATTAAAGGTACACTTGGTAAATTTTACCGGCATTAAAGGGATATTCTGGCATAAAATTAATTTAGGGTCAAACACACCGTAACACCAAGTTAGACCCCCCCTCCAGAGATGAATGTTGCCGACCGCTTGCTTCTCTAGTTATACCAACTTTAGTAACGACCGCAGGATAGCAATACACAGCGGAGCCATAAACAAACCTCAACCAAAACGCCACTCTATAGCCACAAATAATGCTCAGAACAGCACCTAACTTCATCAACAGGACATATAGGGTCACAGACATAGTACTAGACACCAAACATCTTTTTAACTTTGACTCATTTCTTTGGCAAAGAGACTAAACACAACTCACCTACTCTCTTCCAGCAGACGCTTGTTTGTAGAGAGACCTCAGGCCAGTCCATTACGGACTACAGCGGGGTGACGCAGCTCAAGGAAGAACATTTATGATCATTTCTTTATCATTTCTCGAAGTAATAATCACCACATTAATCATTTTTCACTGCAGACGCGGTAGTTCTTCTGTCTTAGCGTCTCGGTCTGATTGCATTTCCATGAAGCGTTAAAGGGAGTCCAGCAGGGCTCCATGTTTGGATCTGTTTCATTTTCTTTCCATGTTCATGATCCCCTCAGTGCCTCACTTGAGGTCATGTAAATGTTTAAATCTATGCAGATGATGTAGTGATTTCTACCTCAACTACAAACACACAAAATTTGCACTTTAGCATGTTCGATTTTTCTGAAGCCTCCAAGAGATTTCTCACTCAAATGTTTGCAGATGTTAGTGATGTTTACCGTCTAAGAAGGTGACAAATGAAGGATTATACGTATTGTGCATCACAGGCGCTTTTTGTCCTAGAAGGCCACCGTCACTGAGCAAGGGAGCGTTTCAATCTAGAATCTGAGAGGTTAAATGAAGTAAATATATCAGACTGACCCTCAGCCGCTGAAATAAAACGACTTTTGCATAAATCAGCTGTAGACGGGTCACTCTATCCTGATAATCGCGGCTGTGAGGCTTTATCGCCTCCTTCCTGCAGGTGTTGACATTATCCTCTTAGTGTTTAACAGCAAGAGGATTACAGGTGATCAAACAGGTGTATTTACGGCTCTCCAAGTGTGACCTGAGAGCCGCACGCCTGCGCTTTGTAATGCAAACAGCTGACTGTAAGTGCACCTCCGGTTAAAGAGCTTTGTTGGTTTTCCTCTGAGGAAAGGATGATAAACTGGGAGAGTTCGGAGGGATGGCGGAGCTTCCAGAGCCGGGCGGGAAATGGAGCGTCAGGCGGCGGCGGAGTCAATTTATTTCACCTGGAACATGTAGAAAAGCCAGAGGCCACGCTTTATCAGAGAGGGGAGAGCGCGGAGGGAGCGAGAGGAGAGCCGAGCGCTGTTCATAAATTAGACGCTGGAGGAGACGGAGGAAGAGAGGGAGTAAGGAAGAGTAGGCAGGTAATGAAGTGAGGAGGTGGATGGGAGGCAGGCGGGGCGAGGAGGAGGAGAGGAAGCGAGGAGGGATGTTTGCTCCGTTGTTTCTTGTTAACTTCAACAGCCCATAATTCAGGCCTCAGGGGGACTCTGCTATCGACAGGGACAGCTCTGTTTTACATTCAGCGGCTGGCTGCAGGCGACAGCGACGGATGATTAGCTCGCCGCCTGCAGGCCGGCTACGCCGGAGAACAGGCGGTTGAGCCGGGTTGTTGGTACACTTCCTAATTAGCCGGTTGGTTTTTTAGGCTGAGCGAGCGGCAGCTGAAGGACGGAGGGATCAGACAGACCGTTCAGGGGGACTGAATGAAACGCTGCTGGAAACACTAATTACCTGTTTTACTGACTGTTTCATTAAACGCTAAACCCAAAACCGCACCAGACGGACAGTTTACTCAACCCTGGACCTTCAACTTCAGACTTCCTGAAGTTTATTCTCTAAAGTTGGGAAATAAGGCAACAATCAAGTAGCCAATTAGAGCTAGGCCTCATTATCATAGCAGCCCCGCCCAGTACTATAATAAGGCAACAATCAAGTAGCCAATCAGAGCTAGGCCTCATTATCATAGCAGCCCCGCCCACTTTGTTAATAATGGTGCATTCCAGTTGTTCTCTGAGGTAGGAATTTACGTACTCCGAGTCAGAACTTTCAACTGGAATAAACATCGAAGTTGGATTTCCGACTCGGAAAGTCAGACCATCAACACAGCCCCCGAGTTAACGTTTAAAGATGGCGGCGCCGGTTGTAAACTGAAAGTTGAAGCTCCCGTTTTAATCCTATAATCCAAATGTATCACTAGATGTTTATATACTGAAATGCTGTCATAGTGTAATTTACATTTTTCATGTGAATATGCGAACTACAACCGTGCTAACAGTGGCTAACTGTAGCCTGATGGTTTCAGCTGGTGTTTTTTTGTGTATTTCAACATATAATTAACTAAATGCGTGTATGCAGTTGTTAAGAGCACTTGCCTGTTATCAACTGATGACCGATCAAAAGGCGATAGATACTTTTTGTAAACATGAAATGAAACATGAAAGAAAAAATAGGCAACCTTCTGCGCCATTGTGTTTCCTCTTCATCCACTGTGTTTGCATGTCGCAGAAGGACCGCATTTTTGTCCAGAAGCTGCTTATATTTCGGACAAGGCAAGCGCTAAAATAACTTTCGTAGATGTAGCCATCTTGTTTCCACCTCCGATTTTGCTTTTTTCTGACTTGGTAGCTGAAACAACGGTAACTCGGGTGTGACGTCATTCCCAGCTCCGACATCCCAGCTCAGCATAAGACGACATTTAGTAGCCAATCAGAACTAGGCCTCATTATCATAGCAGCCCCGCCCACTCTGATCACCGCATGGATAATGAGGTTAGGAACTGAGAGGCTGCAGATCCTGACTGTCATATTTTATGACTTATTGAAAAGACGACTGGCGCCCCTGGTAACGTAAATAGTTCATGTAAAAAACAACATGTTGTGGTTCCTCTGTCTTCTTGTGATTCACTTTTTACGGTCTCTTCTCCTCTCAGCTGACTCAGAGGTGTGAGGATTGAAGTGTCAAACTCTCTCTCCTTCCTTTAAGATACATGAAGTACATTTTTGCTGAGAAATGCCCAGAGGAGCATTTAGGATTGGATTTAGACTTGACTTGTCTCTGCAGAGGTTTCTGGATCACGCATCGCTACAGATCTGATCTGTTTGCATCGGTCAGGGAGCGGCAGGACTTTGATTTCTTGTTGCACATGTTTCTATCTGATATGTAATCCTGTCTTTGTTCCCTTCTGCCTCTCAGGACCCTCTCTGAGTCTGACCTTCCATCTTCACACCCTCACTTCCTCTGAGTGCACAATCACTCCGGTCTCATCTCATCCACTCATCCCGGCCTTCGATTTCTGCAGGTTGTCAGCGGCGGCTGTGGGAAGATGATGCCTCGGCTCTCGAGGGTTCGCAAACGGCTGCGAGGAGGCGTAAAGCCGAAATGAGGCCGATTTACAGAGAATCAAACCAAAACCTGGAGTACTTTGTCTTCAGGGTGATGAGCGAGGAATTATGTGTTTTTTCTCCTCTTCCTCCACACACACAATCTCAAACAGAGCCAGACAGGGTTTTTAAAATGACCCAAATGAGCCGAGCTGCAGATCGGTGCTGCGGCGTTCAGGAGCATTAGAGGACAGGAGCAAAGAGCTAAAATCACAGCCCTATTGAAGGAGAAAAGCTGCTCGCTGCTTTGTGGCATTGTTCTCTGGTGTTGAATCAATCTGAGCGCTATTGATGGAGAGCGTTTGGGAGGAGGCGAAACAGGAAAACACGGGATGAGGAGAGGAGAAACAAAAGAACAGAGAGAATCGCTTAGATGAGCAGGAGAAGTTCTGCTTCGGGGGGAAAACAAACTTTTCTTTTGCGGAAAGTTTCGGTGGCGGATGAGCTGCTGCAAAGATTGTTTTGGAGCTTTTATTAATAAAACATTTATATTTAAATCATATTCACATTATTACACAAAGAGCTGCAAACGTAGAGCAGAGTGTTTTTGCTCTAAATGGGCCCATCATGGTTTACTGAAAGAACAACAACATTATCAAAGAAGATTATAAACTTCTGATTAAAAACATCAGCTCATTGGGAAAATCTTAACTTAAAGGAGAGATGAACTCTTTTCTGTTTTTGTTCACAATCAAAATCTCTGCTCCACCCACGACGTCAGTGCATGGACCCTCTATAGAGACCAGAACCAACCAACCATCTCTTACAGGTCTCTTCAGTAAAACCTATAAAAGGTTATGATCATGCTTAACTCCTTTTTGATCCATCTTACCATGGTGGATCCAGGTCTGGATCCTTCTTAGACAAGTAAACAAATAGATTTCAGGAGGTAATGTGTGTCCGCAGACTGCGCAGATCCAGAAGCTGCAGATTTGGGACTGCAACTCTCAAGGCTAAAACTTACAGGACGTGTATCAGCTCCGTTGTAGCATCGTACCGAAAGCAGCTCTGCTAAAGATACGCGGCGCGTCGATTTTTGCTGCTCTACGCTTCCAATACGTAGAGCAGCAAATGATCTTCTCTTCCACACAGAGAAGATCATTCTAGACAGGAAGAAACGCGCTAAATACGGATCCTCTATGTTTTTGGCTTCAGGCGACTGTTCGATGTGACAGCAACACGTTGTGTATTGGATTGCCAAGATAAATTACTTTCCAAAATGAAAATTGTCTAAATTCAGACAAAAGTCAAAGGTTTTTCCAAATGACTGTCTCTATTAAAAAGTAATGCCATAAACAGACGAAGGTTAACCTCCCTCTAACGGTCTGTTCCTGATGTTTGGCGTCCTCGCGGTCGCCCATTCATCTCCACTTGTCCTTGATTTTTCACTTCTTAAATCCAGACGTGTTGAAGGATTTCCAGACCTGCAGCTCTGCAGCACTGACTGCAGTCCTTCAACACAAAGAGCCAAACACTCCTAACTACACCCTCACACACACACACACACACACACACACAGGTGGAGTTCTCCTTCACATCTCAGCAGTTTAGCTGACGAGGCGTAACACTCCTGGACCTGCTGAAGCATCAGCGAGGAGGAGCAGGAGAGAAAACATCCAACCTTTCTCAGCTGGTCAATGACAGAGTCAGGAGTTTTCAGCGTTAAAGAAGACATTTTTCCCTCTAATGCCGTGCATGTCAGATGAGATGAGGCTCAGATGGCTTTTTAATGGTCTGCTGTCAATTAGAGGGAGCTGGAGAGGAACTATTGGCCTCCTGAGGAGGAGGAGGAGTAGAGGGGAGGGAGGAGGGGGGAGAAGATAAGAGGAGGTGTGGGAATGGAGAGATTAGAGGAAGGTAAGATAACACTGGATGTAGTACAGAGATAAAGCGATAGGGTAAAAGAGGAGGGTTTTTTTATTTAAAGAAGGAGAAATCCAAAATCAGAGGAGTTTCAATCAAGCTGCTAAAATCACAAAACTGTTTAAACTGAAGAAACTCCATAAAAGTCGTTTTAACTGCATATAAAACCTGCATTACCTATAACGGCCAGCAGGGGGACACTGAGCTGAGTCTATGGAAGAGTAGTCCTCCTGCTGGTCTCACTCTGAAGTTTGGAGTCTCCTTCAAAACAACATGATGCTCATTCAACAGATCATGGTCCCATTTAGACCCAAACAGACCAGAAAGAGGGGCGGGATCAAGGCGGGGCTACCCGGGATTGACAGGTCACAGACTGATCAGAGGAGAAAGGAAACTCGTGTGTGAAGACGTCAGTGATGAAGAGGTTCAGTCAAGGACTTTGGTCTCAACTTCCATTTTCATCCATCCAAAGACAGGAACGTCAGCTCTAACGAAGCTGCTGTCTGCTGGATTGGTGGACGTCCATCATTTCATCAGAAACTAAAATAGTGAAGTCTGAGAAAGTTTTGTAGTTGTTTGTGGAGAACTGAACTCCACCTGGATTTAACCGGATCTTCACGTCTGCACAGGTGTGTCAGGCCCTCAGCAGGTGAATGTTTCCAAAGTGCAGATTTACCGACACAAGATCATTCTTCCTCAGATTTGTAGAAGCGGTCGTGGGTTGTAATTACTCATCCTCAGCACTATGAATGAGATCCATTACACGGCCTGTCACTGCAGACGTCTGAGATTGATTAAAATAAGAACCTCTGCGCTCGGACAGACGGCTCTCTGCCTTTAAAACTTCTCCAGAGTGATCATTAAGGAAGTTACCGTCAGAATCATTCTGGAAATTGCAGCTTTTCAGGTTGTCATTTTGGTCCTAATGATTAATCACACAATCTTGGTGTTTGGCAAAAAGATTTGAAGGCAGTTTGGCAGCTGGTTCGGAGTCATAAATCCAGGAAAATGTAACTTCAAAAGTCATCAATGGGTCGAAATGACTGAAATGGGCCGTTTATTTTCATTCTGGCACACGGTTTTGGTTTTCCGTCAAGAAGACATCGATGTAGGACCGCCGAACTGGACGTAACAATGAAGAATGTGTAAGGTGTGACCTCCTAAGACCCACCCCCTCTTCTGATTGGATGTGGTGTGTTAGATTAACTCTGAGAACGGCCAGAAACCCAATTACTCCACTGTGTGTGTGTGTGTTTCAGCTTGTCAGATGTAATTAGCTGAGGACTGCTGCCTCTCTTTCTCTCAGAACAAAGTAACATAATTATAAATCACACTTGTAATTTCAGTCTGTTTTAATAAGTGCTCTCTGTGACAGCACGATTACTCTCTCTGAGCTCCATCTCTGACTCCTTTTTCTCATTTTAACCTCTTTATTATTATTCCAACTTGCTCTCTACAGACGTCTTTGTGTTCACACCTCTACAGCCGGGTCTGACCCCCGATTTCCACCGCATCCAGAACGGCTACGAAAAGGCCATATCCTGATCGTAACCATTCAAGTTAACGTGTCAATTTACACCGACTTCTTTCCGTTCCTCTGCAGATCGTCGGACTCCTCAGCTGATCGCAAGAGTTCTATTTTTTCTGGACGCCGGAGCATGGCGGATAAATTCAGCACAGATTAACCCGTGCTGGAAAGGAAGTCGGGCACAGACACAAAATAAAACATCCGGCTTCTTTTCAAAATAAAACACTCCATGTTTCAGGCGGATGCAAACGGGCGGAGACGAACAAGTGAAAGGTTTTTAGACGTCATTTCACCCTGGTGTCACCATGGATGAGGAGATGCTGATTCTAGAAGTCTAGAAGTAGATTTCCTCCTCTGGAAGGACACAATCTACTGCTTATATGTCTATGTGTCTGTCTTTATAAAGACAACTTGTTATTGTGTGATTGCTCGTGAATCTGCGGGTTCTTGTGAGTTCTCAAATTACCGCTGTCCAAAATCGACCATGTAATTTGCCTCACAAACGGATCCGGTAGGATTGGGCGGATGGTGAAAATTGCTGCCGTTCCGGAATGCGGTGGAAATTGGGGGTGAGGAGTCAAACAGTCAGTGTGGATGAAAAGCTTCCATCATCGCTGGGGGGTATAATTGGATATAAGTCAGTCAAAGTAGATACCAGGGGCCTGAGGTTCCAGCTGCTGTGGTGGGCGCACAGGTTTAAAAGGAACCTCGGCTCCATTCCTCGCATGTGACCCTCGTCTACCAGTTTCAGTCTTGGACGAATACTTGGATACTTGAGCAGAAAGGTGCTGACCGTCATGAACTCCAGCTCCTTATATAAAAAACTTTCTGAAAACTCCTGATTAAACTTTTGCAGTGGAGTTAAATCAAACACAGGGGAGTTTCTGACTCTGGGTTGCAAAGCTGCATTAAATTACACAAAATGAACTGCCTCTCTCTATCTCTTTTTGTGCATGTTTGTCTTTTATCAAACTCTGAGCGGTGAATATGAGCTAAGATCGCCCACAGACAGTGGAGCTGAACTGCCTTTCAACTGCGTATGAATGAGGGGTGAACCTCTAAAGCTGCACATCCGTGGAAGTACACACACAAACACACACACACACACTTCATTCAGCCAACCTTCAAACATGTTCTCTCTGAATGAAAGTTTATTGAAATAATGCGTTTCCTTTCTGCCGTTTCTGTCCGTGCTCCACTGTTTATGTTGTAAAAGAACACGATGAAAAGGAAAGGCAGACGAAACAAAGAGCGAGTGTTTGAGAATAAAAAAGGAAAAGAAAAAAAACGCTGCAGAGGAGGAAGGATGAAAAGAGGAGCGGAGAGGATTTCCATTTACTCCACCAGGGGATGTGATTAAGGTTGCCCTGGTGATGCTTGCTGTAGCCATAGCAACAGAGATTGTAGGTGCTTTGTCCAGGTCCATGCTAACAACCAGCAATGTGATTTTCTGCCCGGACATTAGAGGATAAAAAGGAGTCCCAGCAGGAGCAGCTCCTGGCTCTGTGCTAACACTTTAATGCACTTTAATACACACTGTGCTGAGACTGAGCTGAAGAGGAGGATGTATAGTGGGGGAGGGGGGGGTTGAAAGGCGCAGCAGGTAAAGCAGGATCTCATCATGGAGGGTTTCCTTCGTATTACAGCTGTCCAGGTTTGGAGGACGAGGCCGTGTCAGGAGTTTTTTTAATTAATTGTTTATAAGTTTACAGTTTTAACCTCCTCTGTGAGTGGAACTTACTATTAACAGCGAAACTGAGACTTACAAGATCTAAATAAAGACTGAGCTTTAGTAAAACATATGCATTACTAACTATTAACAGTTAAACTAGGACTTACAAGATACAGAGTGTGCTTTAGTAAAACATATGCATTAATATAAACAGTAAAACTGAGACTTAAAAGGTCCAAATAAAGAGTGAACCTGAGTAAAACATGCATTACTTACTATTTATGGTGAAACTGAGACTTGTAAGATCTATATAAAGACTGAGCTTTAGTAAAACATAACTATTAACAGTAAATCTGAGACTAATAAGATCTAAATTGAGCCTGAGCAAAACATTACTGACTTCAAAACAGTGAAACTGAGACTCTGCAGGAACTGACACATTCAGCCAAATAAGTATAACAGTGAAGCTGAGACTCACCCTAAACACATCAATACTGAGCTAGAGAAAAAACTTACTGTCTAATCACAGTGAAGCCTCCGTATTTAAAGGACTACAGTGAAACTTAGACTCACCAGAAGTGTTAACAGTGAAGCTGAGACTTATAATATTTAAATAAAGAGTGAGCTTTGGTAAATCATATCTGACTTACTTTAAAACAGTAAAACAGAGACTTACAAGATCTGAATAAAGAGTAAGCCTGAGTAAAGCGCATGTACTTTAAAACAGTAAAACTGAGTCTCTGCAAGAACTGGCACATTCAGCCAAAAGGGCCTTCTATTAACAGTGAAGCTGAGACTCACCGGAAACATATAAACAGTGAGCTAGAGAATAAACTTACTGTCTAATAAGATTGAAGCCTCTGTATTTAAAGGACTAAATACAGTGAAACATAGACTTATCAGAGGTGTTAACAGTGAAGCTGAGACTCACAAAACTTCATTACGCCTTAGTTACTATTTACAGTAAAACTCAGACTCGCTCACAGATATACAATAGAGCAGAGGAAGCTTCAGTTAAACTGAAACTGAGACTTTAGTCAGAAAATAAAGTTAGGCAGAGTGAACCTGGGTCTGACCGACTGTGTACAGTGAAACTGAGACTCATAGACTAAGACTGCAGACCTTTGTGGAGAGGTGACTTTAGCTCATCGCTAACTCATGGACGCTGCTGTCTGCAGGTACATGCACCATCATCATCACACGGAAACTTCTGGAGTTAAAATGAAGTCTTTAAACATAAACGTCATCACTGCAGCTCATTTACTTGTTTCCAGTTTTGAAAACAGAATAAAAACATCACAGGATGATTTATTTCCTCTAAAATCCACCTGCACAACAAAAGTTCTGCTGTCTATCAAACATATGAAACTTCTGACTGGGTTATTCAGCGCATGTGCCGTTTAGGGTGAATACAGGGAAAAGAGTCCAGGCTCTGAGGCAGCTATAGGCGTCTGCAGGTAATCATATCAGATAATTGAATCATTGCTTTGTATGATCAGGCTTGTAGAAACCTGCAGCCTGCAGTTTTACCCCCCTCAGTGTGTTTTTAACATCCTGATGGTATCAGGCAGCAAACAGACAGAGTAATATCAAAGATTTTTAACGCCGCTTCAAAAAAAGATAAAAGTTTGTCGGAGGGAGGCGGATAGAGAAAGAGAAGGATGAAACGTCAGTCAGGAGGCCGCTGGAAATCAATCTGAAAATAACAACTATCAAAGACGGAGAGTTCAGTTTTTCTGCAGAGGAAGGCTGAGGACGGGACCGCCTTTATCTTTAAAATATGACGTTCTATCACGAGGAGACTGAAATTTATATCTGCCCTCTATAAAAGCTGAAGCCTCTGTATTTTTACAAATGTTTAATACATTCGTTCATTTTGATTTATTGTTCTGTTACTTAAAAAAGGTTTACAGCATGAACATGAATAAAGACGTTCACTGTCCAGATCAACAAACTCTCTCTGACACGAAGGTTGAAGTTTACGAAGTTATCTACATGTCATGATAGAGCCGATCCCGTCAGCAGTAATGAGGAGTTTCTGCAGAACCTCAGATTGAGCCTTCAAAGGTCAGCTGATCATGGGTATGCCCTCTGATTGGTCAACAGAAGCAAAACAATATCTCTCAAAACTGATCAGATCAGATCACCTTTAATTGTGAGGGATCAGACTCTGACGGGACAGAGAAGCTCCTGGGTGTAAAGACTTGGATCCCGGTCTCACAAAGCGAGTGGATTTTACTCTCATTCTGTGAACTGTTCCCCTGAATATAAAGCTGATGTTGTAAACTGTCTGACATGATTTCTTCCTCGGCTTCTCTTGGTTTGTCATCCCCGCTGACTGTCTCTCCCGTGCAGGTAGAGAGTACCGAGGAGTACCTCGTTTCACCACACTTAAAAAAAAAATGAAAAAGAAATGTTTGCTTTGCCAACTGATCCAAACCAGCGAGGCTCAAATCATCCTTCCTCCAGGGACATATAGATCCTAGAAATATGACGCACATCAAGATTCTCCAGGAAATGAAGCTTAAATAAGCGAAATGACTGACGTGGTCTGTTTAAGTGTGCTGCTGCTGCAGAGCTCAGCTTCTGTCTGATGTCCATCGTAATTACCAGAAAGACTCTTTCTTTGAAGGCGTACGTCAGGCCCGTATAGCTTCCTGCGCTTCAGAAAATAACCCTGAAAGACTCGGTCTGCGGAAGGACTCGCACTGAGGGTGGAAATAGGAGGCAGTTAAACAGAAATTACAGCACAGAGAGCTCCATCGATCCACGCCACACCGACCCGACAGAGCCGGCTGAATTACTGTCGATTTTTCGGTCCGCTAACTATCATCCCCATGAGGACTAGAGGCCTGTAATAATCACAAATAACAGTGTTTGTGAGGACTCAATTCAATGAAGTGCAGCAGTGGGTTTGACATCGCCACAAGGAGCGCCCTGCTGGGACCGTGAAGTCTTTGTAGAAGCAGGAAGCCGGGCTGGAAATGATGCATTGTGGGACAGGTCTGTGTAACAATGAGCTGCTCTGACTCGGGTTCGGTGTCAAAAATCTGGTCAGTGCAGGTTTTTCTTTTCATTCAGTCACAGTCTCCGGGGAGAAGAAACACAGCGCACTTTGGAAAGTTTGAAGAACAACAAAATACTCCGACAACAGCTTCAAGAGGAAACTTTCTTATCAGGAGACGTTCAGAGCGACGGACACACCGCAGGACTGTGAGGCTGACGCATCGACTAAACAAGATACTCTATCAGTCAAATAAGGACAGACTGTAGGAGGTGTGAAATATCAAAGCTTTCAAAACTCATGTTGGCTCATAATAATTAACTTTTCAGCGATCATGTGCCAATGCCAATCTCAATAATCTTGTACATCCCTGAACTGAAAAGGTCAGATGCTCCTCAAACTGGTCTGTAGATCAAATACCGTCTCTGCACCGGATCTGTTTGGACCTTTAAATGAACCGCTCTGTCTTCATTAGGGGCAAGTTCGGGTCCTTTCTCTGTAAAATGAACCTCATTGCATAAAAAGACGACTTTATAAACAATAGCAGGAGTTAGAGTAAAATTTATAA